ATTTAAAAAATTGTTTTATGTATTTAATGGTTATGATTTAATGTGATATAAGTTAATTTGACTGTAAGATTAGTTTAAATCAAATACAATGTTTAATTTTATTTATATTAGAAAGCATATTTTGACTTTGTTTACAGGAGTGTTTAAATTTAATGTTATCAAACATTTCAGTAAACTAAAGCAAATGTATGTCAAGTGGTTGGTGTTAGGATCTGCATATGTAGGGCACTGAACAGACAGTGACAAATATGTTTACCTTCCATTTGTCCTAGGACTACCACTCTTGTCAATGGAAAGTACTTTTAATCTGTTATGAAGAAATTAATCATATATTTGCATTTCAGCCAACGTAAAGACCATATCTAATAATATGTAGAACACAGGTAATATGTAAACCTGAAATCCCTTTGTTTCATGTAATCTGAACTATCTTTTCAAATTTAAATTTAAAATACAATATAGATTCAGCAAGGTCCATATTTTTCTCATGAGTTCACTTTGTATTATTTGGTTGGCTTGCATAAAGAAGCAAGAATTTGTATTGGGTTGGCAAAAAAGTTTGTTTGCTTTTTTCTGTAAGGTGGTTTTAGTAGGGTGTAAGTTGTCTTTAACTTCATCTGAAACAATTTTGTTAGATTGTATTAAGATAGCTTGTCCTATCAGCCTACATTAAAAAAAAAAAATTAACAAAGTTGGTGAATTTTTGTGTAGCCATTTTAATATTGAAGGTAGAAGAAAATATGCAACATTTTTGGCATATTATGCTTTATTATTTCAAGAAAGGTAAAAACACAACTGAAATGCAAAAAATTATTTCTGCAGTGTATGGAGAAGGTGCTGTGACTGATTCAACCTGTCAGAAGTGGTTGGTGAAGTTTCATGCTGGAGATTTCTTTCTGGGCAATGCTCCAAAGTTGGGTAGACCAGTTGAATTTGACAGAGATCACATTGAGACATTAATTGAGAACAGTCAACATTATACCACGCAGGAGATAGCTGACAAACTCAAAATATCCAAATCAATAAAGTTATTGGTGAAAATGAAAAATGTGTCTTATTTAACAGAAAAAACCACGTGGACTTTTTGGACAACCCACTATTTGTATAAAAGCTTGAGAAAGCTATTAGTCAAGTTTATTATATTTGTACATGATTGCAGATAAGCCTATGCCCATTGAAAGGAAAAGATAGACACTATTTTAAAGTGAACTTTAATGTTTTATGTAAACATTTGAAATATACTTTACTTTGTTTATCTTATCAAACCCCGTAAGTCTTGTATTTGTTCCTTGTACGTATAACCCTGGACCATGACTTAATGTTAATTCTTTGCTTTGTCTTTTGGATGACATAATCTACATTAACATGAAAGTTGAACATTTTAAACTTGTTTTTAAACAATATTAATAAATAACAATGAAGTCCTATATTTGAACAGTTTGTTGTTGTTATAAAGTGAATTTACTGAATGAGGGAATAACTTATTTTGGTCAAAAGTCTGGTAAAATAGTGTTAAAGATTTGGCTAATAATTGGGGGTAACCACATCTAAGACAGGTATTATTTGAATGCAACAATATTGTAGTTTACGTAGGCCAGAGGTGTAGATTGTTTTACTCAAAAAGGTTTTAACAGCTTTTACTGAATGTAATTTTCAATTTGGAGGTCAATTTTGGATCAAAAACACTTTGAAAACACCAGAAGTCATTGATTTATGGTTGTCAAAGTGCTGAATAATAGATTGTAGAATTCTTCTGTGACATTTGTGTTCCAATTCCCCTCCAAAGGGACAGTTTAATAGTTCAGGCTGCTGGATGATACAAGAAGGATCTGAGATAGAGTTGAATCCCAGGAAACCAAAGAGGCCAGTAGAGATGAAGCAACTTTTGGCAAGCAGGGTGGAGGGCTATGGGAGTGGGGGTATATGCTAATTCAGCACTGTTTGGGGTAGGGAAGAGGATTAACTACTAAATGGCCAAGTTTTTACTCTCTTTAAAGAGAACTAATGACTACATCTTGTCCTTACTTTTCCCCTTTCTCATAAGCCAGCTTTTCAGAACCACTCTGGGAAAGTTAAGTGATGTTGGCCTCTTACACTATTTTTACTCACTCCTCTGCCCCATTATCTAGAGGATTAAGAACTAACATTTAGTTTCTTCTGTGTAAGAGCTTTTTATGGGTGAGCTTAACCATCCTGTGAATTACAGTCATTGTCCTTAACCCTTCAGTGCCTTTCTTGTGACACAGGATTGCAGTGCTGTTTCTGCTTCTTAATTCAGGGCATCCTATTTTCAACCAAGAATGTATCCTTGCTGTGCATTCCCCACATTATGTAATTATTTTCATCCTGGCTTTACAACCCCAGTAACATTCTTCCATCATCGTCTCCCTGGCCTTCAAACCAAGTTTACATTTCTATGCTACCTGGAATCCTGTACTTCTATCTAGTCCTAATTTCATTTAGTGATATATTGGTTATAAACACTTGCAGGTCAACTCACTGGATTATAAATTCTTGAGGACTTTTTCTTTGTACTGACTACCCACAAAATGAACACTGAAATTCAGAAAACAATTGCAGTGAATTTAATGTCCATTAGATTTGTTAACTGTTGCACTAAGTTTTCAAAGAAAAGTGAGCACCAGAGCTGATAAAATTATCCCAAGCTTGAAAAATATTAAACTTATACATTTTAGTGGAAGTATAAATTTATGGTGCAGTATCTCTGGAGAGCAATTTTACATCAGGTCTTCAAATGCCCATATTCTTTGACCTATCAGGTTCTACATTTAGGAGTTTTACAGATTTACTGATGCATTATGAGCAGTAGTTACAAGGATACTTGTTGCAGTTGTTTGAAGCAACAAGAGACTAAAAATGACAAATGGTTTTACAGTTGTGTAGGCAGAATATCTGAAAGGAGATACAATGAACTATTAATGGGGTTGCATCCAAAGGAAAATGAGGGTCAGTAATAGGTTACAGTTCACTGTGTGCTCCTTTATGCTACTTTTTTTTCATACCATGTGCACGTATTACTGGTAAAAAAGAAAAATCGTGCCGTAGATGGTACATAGGTCAATAGGTAACAGGTTACTTGACATGATGCTGGACCAATGTGCCAGTCATTTGGAAAAAGGTGATGCTTCTGCCATTTGCCTTACAACAAAAGAAATTCCTGATGTTTCATGGACTTTATTAGAAAATAAAAGCAGAAAGGTACTACAGGAAAAGATGGGCAAAATGTTTTATAATAGGATATGATTATTTCTATGCAGGCATACTGCTGGTTATCATAAAAAATATTTGAGTATATGAAAATTTAAGGGGAAATCCAGCACTAATAGGAAAAAGTGATAGGACAAGATGAAATTCACAAAAGAAATAGGAGTGATCAGTAACAGCATAGAGAAAAGATGCTCTGGTTCATTAAAGAAATGCAAGTGAAGTCAGCAATGAGATCATTTTGTCTAACAGGCAATCAGAAGTGGTGTCGAGGATGAAGGCAAGGAACATTCTTGGTGGGAGTGTAAAATGGCTTAACTAAAAAAAAAAAAAAAGTAACAGCAATTTGTGTCAAAGTTCCACTGTGTATCTCTCTGCTGGCAACTCCACTTTTAAGAATTCATGTAGAGCCTTGGCTGGCATGGCTCAGTGGACTGAGTGCGGGCCTGCAAACCAGATTGCTGGTTCAATTCCTGGACAGGGCACATGCCTGGGTTACAAGTCAGGTCCCCTCTGGGGGTGTACAACAGACAACCGATTTATAAATATCTATTGCATATTGATCTATGTTTCCCTCCCTTCCTCTCTCTAAAAATATATTTTTTAAAGAATTCATATAGAGATGCATGTAAAGTGTATGGTAATAGAAAAAGTATGTATTGGTCTCTGCCCCCAGTTCCTGGCAGAGGTCCTGAAACCCTTGTAATTTCCTAAATAAGAGCACTAAAAGTATCTCTTGTTCTAAAGAGGTGACTGGATGGGCTCTTAGATGGGGGTTGGTCATCAGAAAGGCTAGAAAAAGAGCCTCGGAATTTTCAGCCCTACTCCTCATCTTTCAGAGAGGGTGGAGGGGCTGGAAACGGAGTTACTTGCCTACATGGGGAAGCCTCCATAAAAATTCCAGTCATAGGGGTTTTGGAGAGCTTCCCGATTGGCACCCTAACTCCATTGGGACACAAGTTCCTGTGTTTGGGACCCTCCCGGACCTTGCCCTATGTATGCATCTCTTCATCTGGCTGCATACCTGCATCCTTTTATCATATCCTTTAATGAATTGCTGATGTGTTTCCCTGAGTTCTGTGACCTCCTCTAGCAAATTGATCAAAATAGAGGGGTTGTGGGAAACTTCAATTTGTGGGTAACCTGGGGACCTACTACTTGCAAGGGTCATCTGAAGCAGGGTGGGGGACAGCTTTGTGGGACTGAGTCCTTAACCTGTGGGATCTATGCCCAGGTGGATAGCGTCAAAATTGAGGTAAATTGTAGGATACTCCAGCTGGTGTTGCAGAGGAACTGCTTGGTTGCAGAGGAAACATGCACATTTGGTGACCATAAATGAGGGGTTTTGTGTGAATAGTAAAGGAGACAGACATACTACAGAAACACAAAAAGGGGATAACTAGGTTTTTCTCTACATGGAAAGAAAAAAAGTTTCCTACATGTAAGGCTAGTTATTTTATCATCCTCATTCAAGGACATTTTTTTTTAAATTGCTTTTAGTGGGGAGGGAAGAGAGACATTGATGGACTGCCTTCTCTTATGCGCCCCAACTAGGGATGAAACTTGCCACCTGGGTATTGTGCTCTGATGGGGAATGGAACCAGCCACGGATATAAGGGTATTTGAGAGAATTTAAGAAAAAAGAAAAATCAGTAAATAAGGCAAACCAATGTCAATTGGAAATTGGCTAAATTATGTTGCTGTATTGAGACAACGAAACTATTTAAAGGTCTTGTATTTTTATATTCATAGAAATTGAAGTAACTCCATGGCAAAGATATTAAAGACATTACTGGTAAGTGAAAAAATTGAAGTCAACATGTACTGTGTGACCCGAGAGGTTTGAAAGTCCATGTTGTGTACTTGTGTGGACACACGTTCAAATTTGTTTCCAGCGTTGGGGGTGGGGGCAGAAGGCAGTGAAATTTTTCTATTAAACACAGACATAGCAGTTTAGGTTTCTGGATAATACAGCAATTCAAAGTCAAGTCAGTCATTAATGGGAGTGTAATCTTGGAGTTCCTTAAATGTCTTCACAGGTAAAACTGTCCCAAATAATACTGCTACTGAAGCGCTTCCACGTCTAGGGGCTGGCCCTGGCCCTGCCCCTGCCTGGCCTGCTCCAGAAACTTTCATGTGTCAGGCGACCTCCAGGTTCTTGACAAGTGCACAGAAAATTTCAAGAGAGTCTAGCTGAAAGTAAGTTTATTATGGCTTGGGACAGTAACGCAAAAGAGCCCTTGGAGATCGGGTCGGGGGAGGGGGTATGCCTGGTACAGCTGCCATTGCCCATTGCTGCCCTCTGTGCAGGTCTTGCCTAGACCCTTAGAGTTAGTATAGACAAAGCAAAGTACTTGCCAGATGACAGGGGCCGTGCTCAAAGAGCCACCGGTGGTGTTTCTAGTCCTGAGAGTGTTATCTACTTTCTATAGGCAGGAATTTCAGGGGAGGACCTCAGCAAATCCTAAATTTCTGGGTGTGTTGTTTAGTGTGATGATGTATTAAAATGAATATAATGGACTTTGGGGTCATTTTCTGGTTAGTTTTACCTCTGTCTTGGGTAAATCTAATTTTTTTGTTGTTGTTATCTATTCCCTAAGGCAATTTTAAATCACCTGCTCTTAGATACTTTTGGTCAGGGAAGATAGAACCTTGTGATTTATCAGTTGGCTGTTAATTGCTCTGTAGTTCCTTCTGTTTTCCTCATTCTACTCACTTGCCAAGGAATTTTCTAGTTTCTTACTAGTCTGCCTCAATAGATTACTTTCTCTGGTAACACCCGTAAAGTGCTTGACTATTTCTGTTTAGAAAAGGTTATTTGAAATCAAACATCTACAACTGACGAATTACGTAGTATCTTAATTTTATCCCAACCAAGGTTTAAAAAAAAAAACTCCTCCATGAAGCAGTTTTGATAAGCACGTTTTAGTTTAACTTAAATGTCCACTGTTGGTGGCAAATCCCAGAAGAAAATGCTATTTTTAGGAATATGTTTGACTGACAAAGCTTATTTTTTTTACGTTTAGGCAGTCATTCAGCGTCACATACAAACCGCAAACCACACTTGGTATAGTTATCGCATTGGTCACCCAGAATACATCTCACATCACCATGACCCGGGTTTAGAAACAGAAACACGACACGACAAAGAGGAAGCCAGAGCTTGGAGCCCGGGTGTTCTGCTCGCAGAGAGGTCTGCTCACGACTCTGGTCCAAAGGTGTATTTTTCTAGCTGTTTCAGTTCCCGTGACGAGGGGCGGCAGCCCTGAATTAGGGCCACTTCTTGGTTACATCTAGGTGGCTGAGCTGATCGACCAGCAGCCTGTGCTGTGGGAACTTAGCTTCGCCGGCCGCCTTGATAGCCCGGAAGGCAGCTGCCCTGCGGACTGCGGCGTGCCCGAATTCCTGCGCGGCGGTAAGGAACGGCGTGCTCAGCCAATAGTGGTTCTCTGCCTCAGTCTCCAAACGGCGGATCGTGTTCTGCTTCGCTTCGAAGGACACAGAGCGCGGCCGTCGGTGCTTCCCGATCCACTGCCGGCCGGGGATGCGGTTGCGGCGCAGGAGCACGGTCAGGAACATGGCGCCCGCTGCGAACAGAAACCGGGAACAGATTGGCTGAGCCCAACCGCGGGAAAGCGGCGTCCCCGGGAAAGTGGCCCCCACCCACTATCCCAAGCACCCACTAATGCCAGCAAACTCACCAGCGCCGCAACCCAAGAGCTCGGGTTCCTTACAACAGGTCCGACGCACCGGCGGAAGGGCGTTCTCTTCGCCGCGTCTGCCTCCTTCGCACGATACTTCAGCTCCCGCGAGAAAGAACTCGTGCGTCAACTGCGTCACTAAAGACGCTTCCGGAGCCGGAAATTCAAATGAGTGGCGGGCTCTGTGGTGCGTAGTGGTCATCATGGACCCGATCCGGAGGTTGTGTGCGAAGCTGCGGTCTCTGGCAGTCACCGTGGACTGCGAGACGATGCGGCTGCAGCGGGCGGTGGAGGGGGAGGACAACGGTGAGTGGGGAGGGTGGGTGGCGTAGAAACGGGCGAATTGATTGGGAAGGGCGGTTGTCCGCCGGAGGGGGCCGGCGGCGGAAACGCAGCGGCCAGGGGTCGCTGGGCCGCCTTCCCTAATTCCTTCCTTCATCCCCATGGTAGCGTGACCCCAGCGCCTTCGGGAAAGGAAAACAGCGCTGCTACTCTGTACCCATGGGAAAGGCGGACAGCGGGAGTAAAACCTAAGTTGACAGATTGAGCCCAGCATGCTCACCTGATCTACACTTAGCCTGTTTGCTAGTTTCACAACATCTGCTTACCAGTAACACACAGTAGGAACAAAATTAAACAGTTTCCTTTACAGTGCAGCTGTTCAGCACTGTCCTCCACTTGTATAGTGACTTGTCTCAGCCAGATAGTCCACAGGTGCAGTAAACGTCTATTTTTCCCAACAAACCGTGTGGCTAACACAAACACCAGGACTCAGTACTGCCTTTTTTTTTTTTTTTTTTTGGTAGGGAAAGCAAAATTCTTCATCGCTAACCTTTGTATTAGAGGGATTTTTAAAAGTTGCAAGAGTAGTTCATACTTCATAAATGTCATTGTACTGTGCCTCAAAATAGTGCGCCCTGTAGACACAGAGTCCTTTTCAATTATTTTATGAATGGTTATCAAGCCATTTAAAAATGTTTATTCTTGTGACTGTAAAAACAATACAGGGTGGGGCAAAAGTAGGTTTACAGTTGTATGTGAAAGTTTATTTTTGTATTGTTTATTTTTGTATTATTGCTTATTTTTGTATTATTGTTTTTTCTATATGAAAAACTGTAAACGTTCTTCTGTCCCACACTGTATGTGTGCATGGCAAAATTTTGACATACGGAAAAGTAAAAGAAATATGTCCTGTAACTGCACCTTAAGAAGACATCACTCAATGTTTTAGTAGCTTTTCTACCATTCTTATTTTTAGAGTTGCTTTGTTTTTCTTTGATTTTTTTTACAAAAGATATAAAATGGTATTGGCATTTTTTAATTCTTGATATGTAGCTGAATTGTTCACATTTAAGTTTACATTTTCATCACCCCCAAAAGAAACCCGTGACTGTCAGCAGTTCACAGTCCCACCTCTACCTACCACACTAGCCTTATGCAAACACTAATCTACCATCTTTCTTTACAGATATGCATATTCTGGACATTTCATATAAATGGAATCATGTGGTCGTCTACGGCTGACTTATTTCACTTAGCATAATGTTGTAAGGGTCATCCATATCAGCGTGTATCAGTAATTCATTTTATACGCAAGTTTTTGTGTGAATATGATGTTTTCGGTTCTCTGGGTATACACTTGGAAATGAATTGCTGGGTAAACCTATGTCTAACTCTTTGAGAAACTGACAGATTTTTCCCAAAGTGTAATCAGCATTGTATACTTCCACCAGCAATGAATGGAGGGGTTGCATTTTCTTCACAACCTCATCAACATTTATTATTACGTGTCTTACTGATTACAAACATTCTAGCATGTATAAGGTTGAAAATCATTGTGACGTGGGTTTGCATTTCCTTAATGAAAATTGGCTGACTTTTAACAGGTGGAAGATCTTCAAAGGAGGCGTGTTTTAGGAAAGAGAAATACAATCTTAAAAAAACTGCATATATATATATATATATATAACCACCTGATTAATAAGAAAGGTGACAGTACAGTGTGTAAAAGATGTCTTCAGTAAATGGTGCCAGGTCAATTGTACACACCTGGGAAAAAAGAGTGGCTCTTGATCCTTATCTGATGCCATCTACACAAATCAATTCCAGATGGATTTTATCTCTAAAGGCGAAGGAGAGCAATAAACTTAGAAGAAAGCATAAGTATTGTCATGGGTGAAGATTTTTAGAACAGGAATCAAAAAGTGCTTGCTGTAAATGAAAAAATTGCTCAGTAAGACCACGTTCCCACGTTCCCATCTCTTCTCCCTCCCTTCCTGATCTGTTTGCTGACTATGTTTGCTTTGAAAGGTCATCAAACTATATAATTAAGATTTCTATACTACTCTGTGTGTATGTTATAGTTTAATAAAAATTTTAAATAAAGGCCTTAATAGTAAGGCCCTTGTAGTTAAGAGGATATAAATTATAAATAAATATCTACAAGGATTTTATAATTCTAAGAAAGTATACTAAATTATATTTTCTGTTTTTCCCTCCTTTATTGCATTTTTTCCTTTCAATATTCATATTGAAGACTTTGAAGGTTATGCAATGAGAATTTTACATGACCTTCATTCAGAAGTTCAGACTCTAAAGGTATCACTCCTACAACATTAATTTATCATTTTTATGTGGCAATTTTAAAAACCTAAATAAACATAGTCAAAAGTTAGAGAAATTCTAATGTGCTTTCTTTCTTCCTAAAAGGATAATGTCAATGTTCTTCTTGATAAAGCAAGTTTGGAAAGTCAAGAAAGCATTGGTTTCATTAAGGCAACAAAAGTTCTGATGGAAAAAAATTCAGCTGATATCATGAAAATAAGAGAATTTTTCCAGAAGTATGGATATAATCAATGTGACAAGAAAAATTCAGGTGTGAATAACTTGCATATTAGAGCATTTGTTTTAGTGTCAAAGAGAAAGGGCAGCATAATTCAGTAAGACTATTTTTAGCTTGGCTGTGGTTTCTAGTTCTTGCTCTGCCATTGTGTGGCCGTCATTTGATCATTTATTTATTCAACAACTACTGTGCTGGATACAGTGCTGATTAAGTGGTGCAATATACAGACAGTTCTTGCTGTGCTTTCCAAAATGCTGGACAAGAACTAACAGTGCTAGAAGAAAGAACAGAACAAGATATATCTGTTACTTCAGTATAGTTGGTTTCCAGTCAGCTCTGCTAGTAAATGAGAGACTGAGCTTCAGGCATATTTTATTTTTCTTATTCTCAAGTTCCTCTTCTATAGAATGAGATTATTTTTGCCTATATAAATGGAAACAGTCATTGGCAGTTTTAAAATTCTAATGAAAGGTAGTATAACATGGTGGTTTTAAAATCAGAGCCAAACTGCCTAAGTTCATTTCTCTGATTCCACCTTACTAGATGCATTGTCTTTGTCCCGCTACTTAGCCTTGTACCTCAGTTTCTCATTTGTAAAGTGGAGATGGAATAATTTCTACCTCTCAGGTTGTATTAGGATTAAATAAGACAAAATTTACTGAGAAGAGTACCTGGCATATTAATTGCCAAGTGTTAACTATTGCTATTGTTTTACCCTTACTTTTGGTTGACCAGTTTTCAGTGAGCTTCAGTGTCTTCATTTCCATTATGAGAGTAATCTTTTACATGAGTAAAACATTAATTTCAACAGATATGTACTGAGTATGTGTATGGAAGGTATGTAAGCAATCCACATGGTATAATGGAAGCAATTCAGCTGACTTTGGTGTGCATGAGCCATGGATGCAAACACTGGCCCTGCTGTCTGCACATGCTATACATGTGTGACGTGGACAGTTTCTCTAAATTGCTTTCTCCACTTGTGAAATGGGGGTGAATGTGGTGATGATTTTATTTTAATCTCATCAATGACAGCCTTGTGATAAGTACAAGATGTTTCTGGTAGTTGTAACATTTCAGATTTAACAAAGCAGTGTCAGAACAGAGAACTCAGTGAGTCAGCAGCCAGCCCTTCCAAGGACCAAAAACCATGAAGTGAAAGTTTATTACTTTTTTTTTTTAACGTGTCCTGGTTTACACACAGAAATAGTATTGTGCTTAATTTCCAGTTGCTGATCAAAACAAAGTGTGCACCACCTCACTCCTTCCAGTCTGTTGGATCTCTTAGCACAGCCTAAATGTATCCCTTTTCTCTTCTTTTGGACCCAGAAGACTCTGACAGGGATCTCCACCAGTATCTTATAGGCCCCATTTCAACTATAGACCTTTCTTTAAAAGATAGAGAAAACAAACAAAACAGGACTTGACATTGAAGGTGCTATCCTGCATCTTCTAACTCCAACTTCAGTTCCACACCAAATTCTTTTACCTTAATGTACCCAGGAAATTACAAAGGACTCTGGGGAAAAGTAGAGTTATTAGTCAATTATTTAGTCTAAGTGCATGGTGTAGTGGTTAAGCATTAGGATATAGAGCCAGATAAACCTATTAAAGTCTGAGGAAATATATCTCTCTTACTTTTTCTCACTAGGTTTTTGATAGGTGTGTTCTAGACTGACAGGATTAAAATTTATCTTTGAATAGCAATCTTTCCTTTGTAGACATCTGTGAGTTAAATATCTAAAATATTTTTATACTTAATGTTAAATCTAGATTGTAGTTAATCCAACACTGTAATTACTGTCATTAAATGGTAACATAGTTTTGTAATATATTAAGAACAACTAAATTAAATTAACTGGAGGAGTAAGGAAATCGGACTTGTATTTGCGGGTATTGATTTTTCTTCTTTTAACACTTTAGTTTACTTCCTTTCTCTAATATGTCATCAAAATGGGATGTGAGTAGACAAGAGGCGCATGTCAGAAATTACTAAAGGTAGAAGTAAAATAAAGCTTTAGAGACTAAGAACAGAATCAGGACTTTTGTTGATTTCAGACATTTCAAATTAAACTGTTTTATGTGGTTTTAGTACTTGAGATTTCCTGATTTGATGCTTGAATAGAATATGACCTTTTTTTCTCCCAGAAGGTGAGCAAGAAGTTGCTGGCTCTAAACCAGAGTCCATTAGGGATGAAAATCTTCAAAAGCCTGATGTGAAGGATGATATATCTAACAAGAACAACAATCCTGTTGTCCCAGGCAGCTCTGTTCCTGAGAAGATTCCATGTAGTCCACAACTTTCAGATTTTGGACTTGAGCGGTACCTAATATATCAAGTTCCACCAAACCCTCCACAGGTGGTACACAACCAAAAGGAGGAACCAAAAATGTTAACTCCGTCTTCCAAACAATCACTAGTTAAAGTACTAAAAACTCCAAAATATGCACTAAATATGGACGATTTTGAGTGTACAACTCCTAAATTAGAGCATTTTGGTATCTCTGAATATACTATGTGTTTGAATGAAGATTACACAATGGAACTTAAAAATGTGAAGAATAAAAGGTAAGTAGCTTTCTAAAAAGGCACATTTTATCTCTTTTTCTCTATCTTATGTATTTATTGATTTTTTCCTAGAAAAAAAATAAGATGTTTCAGACTTTGAAATTTTCAGATGCTTATTTCAAACTTCCCTGAATCACCAATTCTGTTAGTAAAATGTGAGCTATTGTGGTTTTTTGTTTTTTATTTTCTTAAGGTAAGACGCTGCAGAAGGAGTGACATGGGCCTAAAAAAATAATGGTATTTGGTGAGATAGAGAAACAAGGGTAAAATTAGTAAGACTTTATGTTAATTTGGTATGGAGACTTGGGAAGAGAGGGGATCTCGGGTCTATCCCAGATTTCTGATGTATTGCCTGGGATGGCGCTAGGGAAAAGAACTAAGGAATACCTGAAGCCTGGAGGGACAGGTTACATGTTACATGTTGATTTTGTGGTACCTGTAGCAGTGCTCTTAAATTTGAGTATTTTAATATGAATTTGAAATTCAGTGATTAATTTCATGCTAAAGAGATTGGGAATGATTAGTAAGAGTTTTAGAAGGGTAAAATTGATCAATCTAAGAACTGGTTCTTATTTAGACATAAGTGCAAATGACAAATTTAGGAACTAAGGGCTATGTTTTTCACTTTTTAAGCTATTAGAAATAATACAACCCTGGCTGGTGTGGCTCAATGGATTAGGTGCTGGCCTGCAAACCAAAGGGCCACCGGTTCAATTCCCAAATAGGACACAGGCCTGGGTTGCAGGCAAGGTTCCCAGTAGGGGGTGCTCTAGAGGCAACCACACATTGGATGTTTCTCTCCTCTTTCTCCCTTCCCCTCTAAAAATAAATAAATATAATCTTAAAAAAAAACCCCACAATAATACAGGGTATAGTATTGGGAAATTGGGGAAGTTCAGATAAATGAAAAATAACCACTTAAAATACTATGCTTTTTTATATCTTATTAATAACTAGTTGGTAAATATAGTGCGAAAAACCCATTCAGATTTTCAACAGAAAGGTAGAATACCTACACCAGTTGTAGGTGAAAGGCCTATACGATTAAAACCATAAAGCATGTCTTGAGTTATATACAGGAAAAATTAGGATGAAGAGAGATGTTATATTCCTGAATCAAATGACTGAATATTATTAATATGTTTCATCATATCAAATTAACTGATAGGTGTCATGAAATTACAACAAAATCTCCATAGGATTTTTTTCAAGGTGGAGAAAGAGGGATATTTGACAAAATGATTCTAAAATTTGTTTGGAAGAGTAAAAGGACAGCTAAGGAAATAATGAGCCCTGGCTGATGTGGTTCAGAGGAATGAGCACCGACCTGAGAACCAAAGGGTCACCGGTTCAATTCCCAGTAAGGGTACATGCCTGGGTTACTGGCCAAGTCCCCAGTAGGGAGCACTTATGGGGCAACTACACATTGATGTTTCTCTCCCTTTCTTTCTCCCTCCCTCCCCCTCTCTAAAAATAAATAAAACCTTTAAAAAAAAATGAAAAATAACACTAATGAGGGGACTTGATCTACTAGATATTAAAATATATAAAGCTATAGTAAGTAAAACAGTATAAAACTGTCACAGAATGGACCTATTACTGGAACAGAATAGCCCAGAAACAGACTAATTTATAATGAGTTGAACTTACGGCATTCCTTCTAAGTCAGGGATTCTTAATCTACTTCTAGGTCAAAACTGTCAGTACAAAATGGTTCTTAACCTTTTATAAGCCATGTTTATACATTAAAAAAAAAATTGTTCCATGGGCTTTTTGTTCCATAAAATAGCACTAAACAATTGTCCAGACTTGATTTATAATAAGATTAAAATTTCCCAGAGGTTTAATAATACTAACTTTTGTATAACCTTATAATTTTCCTATTAATCATGCCAGTGATGAAGCCGTAGAAACAGAACCAGTGTCCAGTGATAGTGCCACTACTGGTCTAATGAACAAGCAATTGGAAAAAAATGGTACGTGTGAAAATCAAGTTGCTTCTCAGCTATGCTCTGTGCAGATGATCTTTATACAAAACTGATTCTCTAACTATGGATATTCCTTTTTTTTTTTTTTTATAATGGAGTATTTTTTTTTCTTTCAAGTATTTCTTTCTATATTTTTTAAATACATTTGTCTCTGCCTCCACCCCACCACTTTCCCTTGCCCCCTCCCTCCTTCCCTCCATCAGCTCTTCCCCTTTGGTTTTGTCCATGAGTCCTTGCTATATGTTCCTTGACTTTCCCCTTCCCTTCCCTTTCCCTGCCCCGCCCCCTTCCCACTTGTCTCTGTTGATTTCTTTTCCTTTCAGTGTTGTTGGTCATATTTTCCTTGCATCTTTGTATTGTTGGTTAGGTTCCGCTTATAGGTGAGATCATATGATATTTGTCTTTTGCCCCCTGGCTTATTTCACTTAGCATAATGCTCTCCAGTTCCATCCATGCTGTCGCGAAGTTTAGTAGTTCTTTTTTTCTTTCTGCTCCGTAGTATTCAATTGTGTATATGTACCATATTTTTTGATCCAATCAACTACTGATGGGCATTTACGTTGCTTCCAACACTTGGCTATTGTAAATTGTGCTGCTATGAACATTGGGGTGCATAGGTTCTTTTGTATTGGCGTTTTGGTGTTCTTAGGGTATAGTCCCAGCAGGGGAATCACTGGATCAAAAGGCAGTTCCACTTTCAGCTTTTTGAGGAAATTCCACACTGCTTTCCACAGTGGCTGGACCAGTCTGCACTCCCACCAACAGTGTACTAGGGTTCCCTTTTCTTCACACCCTCGCCAGCACCTGTTGTTTGTTGATCTGTTTATGATGGCCCTTCTGACCGGTGTGAGGTGGTACCTCATGGTGGTTTTGATATGCACTTCTCTGATGGCGAGTGATGCTGAGCATCCTTTCAAATGCCTCTGGGCCCTCTGTATCTCCTCCTTAAAAAGCGTCTGCCCAGGTCCTTTGCCCGTTTTTTTGATTGGATCATTTGTCTTCTTGGAGTGGAGTCGAGTGAGTTCTTTATATATCTTGGAGATCAAACCTCTATCTGATGTATCATTAGCAAATATATTTTCCCATATGGTTGGCTCCCTTTTCATTTTGCTGATGTTTTCTTTTGCCATGCAGAAGCTTCTTATTTTGATGAGATCCCACTTGTTTATCCTTTCCTTTATGTCCCTTGCTTTAGGAGACATATGGGTGAAAAAATTGCAGCGTGGGATATCTGAGAGTTTCCTGCCAATGTTCTCCTCTAAGACTTTGATGGTGTTGCGACTTGTTTAAGTCTTTTATCCATCTTGAGTTTATTTTTGTGTATGGTGTCAGCTGATGATCCAATTTCAATTTTTTGCATGTAGCCATCCAGCTCTCCCAACACCATTTGTTGAAGAGGCTATTATTGCTCCATTTTATGCTTCTGCCCCCTTTGTCAAATATTAGATGCCCATATAGACCTGGGCTTATTTCTGGGCTTTCTATTCTGTTCCACTGGTCTATGGGTCTGTTCTTGCGCCAGTACCAGATAGTTTTGAGTATAGTGGTTTTGTAGTAGAGTTTGATGTCCGGTATTGTGATCCCTCCTACTTTCTGTTTCTTTCTCAAAATTGCTGCGGCTATTTGGGGTCGTTTATGGTTCCATATAAATTTTTGAAATGTCTGTTCTATTTCTGTGAAATACGTCATTGGTATCTTAATAGGGATTGCGTTGAATCTATAAATTGCTTTGGGTAGTGTGGACATTTTGATGGTATTAATTCTTCCAATCCATGAGCACGGTATATGCTTCCATTTATTTGTGTCTTCCTTAACTTCTTTCTTCAATGTTGAATAGTTTTCTGCATACAGGTCTTTTACCTCTTTGGTTAAATTTATTCCTAGGTACTTTATTTTTCTTCTTGCTATATTGAATGGTACTTTTTTTCTGATTTCTTCTTCTTCTATTTCATTGCCAGTGTACAGAACTGCCTTTGACTTCTGAATGTTGACTTTGTATCCTGCTGTTTTGCCAAATTCACTTATTAGGTTGAGGAGTTTTTTGGTAGAGTCTACAGGGTTCTCTATGTACACTATCATGTCATCTGCAAACAATGATAGCTTTACTTCCTCTTTCCCATGTAGATGCCTTTTATCTCTTTCTCTTGTCTGACCCCTGTGGCTAGGACTTGCAATACAATGTTGAAAAGAAGTGGTGAGAGCTGATATCCTTGTCGTGTTCCCGATCTTAGTGGGAAAGCTTTTAGTTTTTTCCCATTGAGTATGATATTGGCTGTAGGTTTTTCATATATGGCCTTTATTATGTTGAGGAATGCCCCATTTGTTCCCATTTTGCTGAGTGTTTTGATCATAAATGGGTGCTGTACCTTATCGAATGCTTTTTCTGCATCTATTGAGATGATCATGTGGTTTTTGTCTTTTCTTTTATTTATGTGATGTATCACGTTTACTGATTTGCGTATATTGAACCATCCCTGCATGCCTGGGATGAATCCCACTTGATCGTGGTAGATAATCTGTTTAATGTGTTGGTGGATGTGGTTTGCCACTATTTTGTTGAGGATTTTAGCATGTATGTTCATCAGCGAAATTGGCCTGTCGTTTTCTTTCTTTGTAGGGTCTTTATCTGGTTTTGGCATTAGGGTGATGCTGGCATCACAAAGAGTCTGGGAGTCTTCCCTCCTCTTGGATTTTTTTGGAATAGTCTGAGAAGGACAGGGGTTAGCTCTTCCTTAAATGTTTTGTAAAATTCTCCTGTGAAACCATCTGGCCCAGGACTTTTGTGTGCTGGGAGTTTCTTGATGACTGCTTCAATTTCCCCAGCTGTTAGTGATCTGTTCAAGCTTTCTGTTTCTTCCTCCTTCAGTGTTGGAAGATTATACTTTTCTAGAAATTTGTCCATTTCATCAAGGTTTTCAAATTTCTTGGCATATAATTGTTCATTATAGTTTCTGATGATCATTTGTATTTCTGTGGTATCAGTTATTTCTCCTCTTTCATTTCTGATATTACTTATTTGGGTCCTCTCCCTTTTTTTTTGATGAGTCTGCTTAAAGGCTTGTCAATTTTATTTATCTTTTCAAAGAACCAGCTTCTGGATTGTTCAATCCTCTGAATTGTTCTTTTTGTCTCTATGTCATTCAGTTCTGCTCTAATCTTGACTATTTCCTTCCTTCTACTTGCTCTGGGATTTATTTGTTGTTGTTTCTCCAGTTCTTGAAGTTGTAGTGTTAGATCTTTTATTTGAAATGTTTCTATCTTTTTTAGGTAAGCCTGTATTGATATGAACTTCCCTCTCAGGACTGCCTTTGCTGTGTCCCATAGGTTTTGGACTGTTGTCTGTTCATTTTTATTTGTTTCCAGAAATTTTTTGATCTCTTCTCTTATCTCATTATTGACCCATTCATTGTTTTATAGTGTACTGTTCAGTCTCCGTGAGTTTGCAGGTTTTTGAAGTTTCTCTTTGAGGTTGATTTCCAGTTTCAATCCCTTGTGTTCCGAGAAAAAGTTTGGTATTATTTCCATTTTCCTGAATTTGCTGAGGCTTGCTTTGTGTCCTATCATGTGGTCTGTCTTTGAAAAACTGCCATGAGCATTTGAAAAGAATGTGTATTTTTCTTCTTTGGGATGTAAGGTTTTATATATGTCAGTTAAGTCTCTTTGATTCAGTGTGTCATTCAGCGCCACAATATGTTTATTAATGTTTCGTTTGGAAGATCTGTCCATTTTTGACAGTGGGGTGTTGAAATCCCCTACTATCAGTGTGTTGCTGTCTATATCTTTTTTGAAGTCATCCAACAATTTCCTCATAAACTTGGGGGCTCCTCTATTGGGAGTACATAAGTTTACAATCTTGATGTCTTCTTGATAGATTCTTCCTTTAAGTATTATAAAGTGCCCCTCTGGGTCTCTCTTTATGGCCTTTGTTTTGAAATCTACTTTGTCTGATACAAGTATGGCAACCCCGGCCTTTTTCTCTTGCCCATTTGCTTGGAATGTTTTTTTCCATCCCTTTACTTTGAATCTGTGTAGGTCTCTTGCTCTGAGGTGGGTCTCTTGTAGGCAGCATATGTGTGGGTCATGTTTTCTTACCCATTCAGCTACCCTGTGTCTTTTGATTGGGACATTTAGTCCATTCACATTGAGAGATATTACTGATAGAAACTTACTCTTTTCTTTTTGTACCTGTGTTCCTCTCTGTCTCATTCGTTTCCTTCATCTGCTTAAACCAGTCCCCTTAGCATATCTTGGAGTGCTGGTTTGGTAGAGATGTATTCTTTTAGTCTTCTCTTGTATGGGAAATTCCATATTTCCCCTTCTATTTTAATGGAGAGCCTAGCTGGGTAGAGCAGCCTTGGCTGTAGGCCCTTGCTTTTCATGGCTTGGAATATTTGTTGCCATTCCCTTCTGGCTTGTAGTGTTTCTGTTGAGAAGTCAGTTCCTGGGCGTATTGGGGCCTCATTGTATGTTACTTTCTCCTTCTCCCTTGCTGCCTTCAGGATTCTCTCTTTGTTTTTGACATTTGCCTATTTAATGATGATGTGTCTTGGAGGGGACCTCTTTGAGTCCCTCTTGAGTGGGGTCCTCTGTGCCTCCTGGATCCATGAGAGCCTTTCTCTCCACAAATGAGGGAAATTTTCCATCATTACTTTTTCGAGGAGGTTCTCTATCCCTTGCTTCTCTTCTTCTCCTTCTGGTATCCCTATTATATGGATATTATTGCGTTTCAGGTTGTCCTGCATTTCCCTAAATGCCTCTTCATTCTTTTTGAGCCTTTTTTCCATTTCTTGTTCTTTCTGGGAGCTTCTTTCTACCTTATCCTCCATCTCACTGATTCGATCCTCAGCTTCATCCAGCCTGCTTTGGATTCTTCTACTGTGTTCTTCAATTCAGAGATGGTATTCTTCATATCCTCTTGTGTCTTCTTGATAGTTTCTATGTCCTTTTTCAGGCTGATATAGTTTGCTGTAAGATCCTGATAGTTTCTGTGCAGTTTCTCATAGTTCTCTTTGAGCTGGCTGAGCTCATTGAGCTTCCTTAGAACCATTGTTTTGAATTCAGTATCTGATAGTTCCCTTGCCTCTATTTCATTGAGCTCTCTCTGTGGGGAGTCCCCTTTTCCACTCATTTGGGGGGGAACTTCTTTTTCTTCCCATTTTTGTGAGAGTCTGTTAAGTATTTTTGTCCTTTACTTTTCTTTCTGGGTCTGCCTCTGATGATGTCAGTTGTTGACCCTATAGGACCTTGGGTTGTTTGTTTGAGCCTTCCAGGAGTCTAATGTCCGTGTCTGACTCCTGCTTAGAGCAGCTCTGTGACCCCTTCGTTCAGGGCTGGGCTATTTTTTGGGATCTCTGCACTTTCACGCCGGGTCCTTGAGCACACTCCCAGCGCGGCTGGATCCCCCACCTGCCTGGGCTCGCATGTGCTGGACCCAGACCAGGGGGCTTATTCGCGACCTCCCGTACTCATCTGGCCCCCCTGGCTGGCGAGCTCCACCGCACTGGTCAGTATAGGGTCTTCTATTGTGTATTTTCCCCGCTTTTCGCTCTTTGGGTGCGTTGCTTGCCCTCGCCAAATGGGGACTACGGAAATGGGAGGAAGTCAGCTCCAGGACTCTCCGGTTAATTCTTCTCTGGTCTCTCCTCCAGGGACTCTGGGCAGCTCTACTAATTTTGTGGGCCGCTCTGCAATCGCGGACGGGCAGGTCAATTTACGCCTGCCCTTGCCGCTCTGGGCACTCTCTCGCAGGCCCTATCGGTGCCAATCTGTGGGAGGCGTTGCCGGCCGGTGCAAACATTCACCAGCCCGTGCGGGTCACACACATGCTCACCAACCCTCGCCAGTCATTCGGCGCAAGTGTGCGCGCCTGCACTGAGTGTTTTGGAGGTGTCTGTGTGTGCTTTTCGGCTTTTGGCTCTTTGGGGGTATGGCCTTTTCCCACGCAATGGAAACTACAGCAGGGAGAAGGAGTCAAGACTTCCCGGTTCCTCCTCCTGTTCTTTCCCCAACGCCTCAGTTTCTAGTCTCTGCTCAGGGGTCTCTGGGCAGTTCTGTGACCCCTTCGGCAAAGGATCCACCCTCTGTGCGGACTGCGTTTCAATCGCAGGCAGTCTGGTTCCTGCGCGCCCCTCTTCTGCCTCTTTGGTGTCGCGCCTTTCCAGCCCACAATGGAGCCTACAGAATGGAGAGGGAGTCGGGACTCCCCGGTTCCTCCTCCCGTTCTTTCCCCAACACCTCCGTCTCCAGTCTCTCCTCAAGGCTCTCCCAGCCAGTCTGCACTCAGCCCCGCAGCTCACACACGTACAAGCTGTGTGCGGAGCGCACAAAAGGCAGGTTAATTGATTCCCTTATGCCTGAACAAGATGGTAGCTGCAGAGTGGGAGGCATGCCATCACCCGGGCTCCACGGGCCGCCGTGTTAGTTCTCTTCACAAAGTTTTCCTCACCAGTCTTTTCCCAGGCACCAGCCTGCCCTGCTGCCGCCTCTACCCAGCGATCAAGGAGGGTGGCTGCCACTGCAACTTTTGCGTTGGCCCTTTAAATGTCTCTTTGCATCCCCAGCCACCTGTCTCTGGCAGAGAGTGCCCCTAAGCTTTTTGGGGTTGCGTTTTGTCTGTATTTTCTTGGTTTTAGCTGCTGTAGTCTAGGGGTCCCTGTTTATGATTCAGACCCTGTTGTTCTCAGGGGAAGCTAACTGGCCGTTTCAATGTCCCTCTGGTGCCAGTGCCTGTGGGCACCCAGCCCACCCTCTCCAGCCTCCACTGCAGTTCTCACCTGTTGGGATGTGTGAGAGTAGAATCCACTGTTCGTGGCACCAAGGCTCCTGTCCCACTATCGCTCCACTGCTTTCCAGGTGATTACTCCATTATTTAGTTGCAATTCCAGTTTGGTTTTGGGAGGAGGTCAGCGTGACTCCCATTCACTCCTCCGCCATCTTCTCTCTCACTATCGATATTCTAATAGCCTCACTCATTTGGTGACCTCAAGTTCTATTAAGTACCATTCCAGTAAAGAATTTCATACGAGAGAAAGATACATGTAATTTTCTGACTTGCTTTTCATATTCTTTCTTGTTATATTCAGCATTTGCTAGGTTTTTTTTAACATTTTAACTTAAAGCATATAAATATATATTCATTCACTATTCTCTGATACAGAAGCAATAGCACCCTGTTTTTAGTTTAGCTTCAGTGTATTGATCAGAGTTCTACGTTATCTTTCTTACATAAACCACACCCAGAATACATCAGCTACCATTCAAATTTTGGATTTTTAAAGAGTACAAGAACTTAAAATTTTCAGGTAGTTTTTCATTTGTCCCAGCAAACATGAAAAAACTGGTTTTCATGAAAATATAAAATAAAACAATCCTAGAGTTTAATGATTTCTTAGAATAATTATTTATAATTTTCTGATCTATACCAAATTTATTGGCAAATCTTTTAAAGTAATTTCCCTTTATCAGGTCTTCCCAAAAGTTTTGGAGATTATTTTCAGAAATATTCTCTTTGTACTGGTTGCACTGACTTGTTATTAAGTTAGCAAGTACCTCTGTCATAAACAGGTGTGAAAAAAATACAACTAATAGTAAGTTTAAATCTCAACTTATAGGAAAAAAACATGACTATATTAAAAAGTAGCCTTTTTTTTTTTTTTAGACCTCCACCCCACTGAAATCCTTCAGTGTGCCAACAGCAGTATCTTTTATGGAAGGAATCTAAAGCCTAATGTTTATCCATTAGTGATTTGGTTAACTAGAGGCTTGTTAAGAGAGTTTTTATTGTACTTTTTTGGTTGACCCTAGGTCTATACCATGAAAGTACCATTGTTAAAACTTTTATGGGGCATATGCCTAGATTGTGTGTGGTTTGGTCCCCGTCCAGGGTGTGTGAAAGAGGCAGCCGATCAGTGTTTCTCTCCCTCTCTTTCTCCCTCCCTTCACCTCTCTAAAAGTAAATAAGATCTTTAAAAAACAAAAAATAAAATACACAAATTATATTGCCAAGAATTATAACTTAGAAGCAGAAATCTGTGTTCCAACTTTATTTTCATGCAATTGTATGTCTTTTAGATGCCGAATATACAAAGTCTCCCTTGGCACCTACATTTTGTACTCCTGGTTTGAAAATTCCTTCTACAGAGAGCAATACAGCTTTGGTAAATTTTCATAAAATTGAAAACTCGTTGTTCCTAATGACTCAGATCCACTACTATTTTCGGATTCAGACTATTTAAAAACTTAGAATAATGCATACTTCGATTGTATATTTACCGTATACTTATGGAGGGTAATTTAGTAGCCCTTATCAAGAGCTTTAAATTTTTTCATACCGTTTAACAATGTCTCAGAATTTATTCCTAAGGCTCCCTGGGACAGATTTACTATAGCAAGGAAACTATTTTTAAGAACAAAACATAGAAACAGTCTAAATGTCAAATGTTAGAGGGGAAGTAAGATATATTAAGGTATGTCAATAAAATCCAATGTTACCTATCATGTTTTTGAAAAACGAGTTTTTAAGAAATAATTATATGGAAAATGACATTTATGTTTATGTGCACATACACTCATATATAATAGTCCTCTCTTATCCACGGTTTTGTTTTCTGTGGTTTCACTTAACCTGTGGTAAACCAGTCTGAAAATATTAAATGGAAAATTCCAGAAATAAACAAGTCGTTAGTTTTCAATCATGCTCCTTTGAGTAGAGTGATAAAATCTCTCACCCTCCTGTTCCATCCCATCTGGGATATGAATCATTCCTTTGTCTAGCATGTCCACACTGTAGAGACTAACCTCCTGTTAGTCACTTAGTAGCTGTCTCAGTTATCACATCAACTGTCAAGGTATCACAGTGCTTGTGCTCAAGTCACATAACCTTTATTACAGTATATTATTAAAGTTGCTCTGTTTTGTTATTAGTTATTGATCTCTTACTGTGCCTAATTTATGAATTAAAACTTGATTATAGATTTGTATGTATAGGAAAAAACATAGTACATATAGGATTCATTACTATCTGGGGTTTCATGCATGCACTGGGGATCTTAGAACGTATTCCCTTTGGATAAGGTGGGACTATTATATTTTAAGGAAAAAGAATAAATAGAAACAAACCAAAATATGATTATTTATAGGTGAATTTTATCCTTTTTTCCCCCCAGATTTTCCCCAGTGAACAAACTATAATCAAAACCTCCTCCCTTTTTAATTTTGCTATGAACACTTAAGACAGCCCATATGGTAGACCAGGCTGTCTTAACAGAACTTTCTCCAGTGATGGAGATGTGCCGCATTTGGTGTGCCTCCTATGGTAACTGCTAGTCACAGCCAGCTATTGAGCATGTAAAGTGTGGCAAGTGCATCTGTGGAACTATTTTTATTTTATTTTTTAATTGTATTAATTAAGTTTAAACAACCCCAGGTGGTGGTGGCTCCAGTGTTGGACACTAGCTATACAGAAATAATATCCTGGGCCTCCGAGATACGCTTTTCTTCCTCTTGGGGGTGAGGGCCTGTTGTAACTTGTTATTTGTGCTGTGACTGTCATCTGGCCCATTGCCTGACATTGGGCAGGGGGTGGGGGAGGGTAGTGAATGGTCTAAATGTGGGGTTCAGTCCATTTTTCATATTAAGCTCTAGCTCAGCCTTTGTTGATAATGGAGATAGTTCTTTGTCTTCCATATGCCATTTCTTTGTTTCCTTGATTTTATTTAGCTCTTGATCAGGGAAGAGGGGGTTGTCGTTTATGGGCTATTTAGCAACCCCAAGAGAACTAACAATTTTTATTTACATTATTTTATACCACCATAATGGTTTGTTTTTATTCATTAGGTATCCACAGGTTATCAATTATCAAAAACAAACAGTTCACCAAATGATTTGGAAATGAAAGACTGTACATCGTTAATTTTAAATTCAGACAAGTGCTTTGAGAATTGTGCTGCTCCCTCTTCCCCTGTGATTTCTTCTTATGAGAATCTGCTCAGAACACCCACACCTCCAAAAGTAACTACAATTCCAGAAGATGTTCTCCAGGTTATCTTCCAGACTATTTTATGATACATTTTTTTCAAAATTAGATATTTACATAATCTCTGATGTAAACTGTGATTTACCATTGGACTATGTGCTGGTTTGGGTATTGAGAAAATCTAAATTCTGGGCTGCTAGGCCTTTCTTAACACTACCTGGCTAAGATTCTTCTGAACTGAGCAAAAGGTGGTGCCATCCTCATACTTAAATGCTTTTGGGGCATTTTCTCTTTAACTTCATATTCAGAAATGTATTCTAATAATATTTTCTAGTAATTGTTCAGCTGTGGTAGTCATGTTGACAGTTGTTTCCATGGGAGGTATTGCTAGCCAAGTCGGGAATGTCATTTATCCTACAGTTCTCCAGAGGGTATCATAAGTGTTTCTTGAAATTCAGATATCTTAGACCTCAGTTTGAGAAACACTGATTTAGATATATTACAATCTCCAATTCCTTAGTGCAACATCATTTACTACTAGTCAGCTACTAGTAGTTTACTAGTTTACTACTGACTTACAACAACTGGCAAATCTACTAAATAACCACTATTCTGATTTTTTGAGTTTTCTCCTCCTCCAATAGGGGTTGTAGTGTTTGACAATAACCATTCTAGCAACCTTCCTTATGGAGAGCTATGAAGAAGATAAAACTACTTGGCAAAATACCCAAATGCCATTAGGACAGATTCATCCTAAGATATCAGTAAAGGGTTTATTACCCTCCTTTCTCTGTCTTTCCTATTTTTCTGGGCATTAGAATTGAGGAAGGAGCAGCTTCTGTCTATAGGCACTATGTAGAGACCCATTTCCCTTTTTATTTCTGTTAAAAGAGGGAAACCTTGTATTCAATGCACTACCTTTTTATGTATGTAAACAATCATAGATAATATTTCAGACTCTTTATAATCTATATAACTAGTGATCTTTCTTTTGAGCATTTATTTTGCTTCCTTCCTATATATATTTTCCCTAACATCTTTGTAAAGGCCTAATGTGTGCACAGGGACATACTGCTGCTTAATTCCATTATCCCTAGTGTATATTTTAGAAGGGTTTAGAAATCAAGCCTCCACAGGCAATTAAATTTCTAATATTGCCATAATTTCTGTGATGTTGAACTGTGCTGATTATAGATTCTCACTGTTTCAAACAACCCTTACCTTCAAATTTTCCTTGGGTTTCTTGAATGTTTTGTAGCACCTTCCAAATGTATGTTGTTGCTATGATTTAATAAACAGGATTTTGCTTGGTTTTAGATTTTATCAAAACACAACCCAAACCTAGCTACTACTCCAGTAGCAGTTAAAGCCATGCCTCCCAGCAAACCATTCCTTACTAGATGCGAAGGACAAAACAACTGAGATGTTGGCAACAAAAAACCGATTAAAGTGAGTATGTTACTATTCTAAAGAAAGTAGTGTATTCTGCCATGTGTAATGCGCACTTTTTGCCCAAATTTTTGAGGGAAAAATAAGGATGTGCATTCTACATGTGTATAATGATTACATACCATGGCTTTAATAATCCCTTGCATCATATGCACAAAAACATGGGTGTGCATCATACACAGCAAAATACAGTACATGTCATTTGAGAATACCTGAAAATTAGCATTTGAATGGTAATAAAAATAATTTTTAATTGACATTTGGCAGCGCAGGTTAGCAGCCTATGTCTCTATATATAGAACTTGTGATCCCTAAATCTGACTCCCGTGGTAGCAAGTTTGATTGATATCACTGGGAATCTATCCCCAACTTTTTTTATATAAAGTGTAAAAAAAATATAACCACAGTTATTGTGTCATTTGTTTTGTTGATGGTTATTAATTATACCTGATTTTTTTTATTTGTATCCTTTTGCAGAAATTCTAATGGATCCATCCATCCATTCTAGAAACTGAACAGAATGAGATGAAAGCAAAGCTGGACTTGCCTTGTTTTTTACATTCCCATGTCTCCCTGTCTAAAACCAACCCATATTAAAGATGGGCACGGACATTGATGTCATAATAGGCTTTTTATTAAGTTTTGATTTAGTTTAACCTCAGTCTTGCTGACATGTAGCTCAGTAATCAGTTTTTAAATAACATTACTATTTCATTGATTTCATATTTACCATACCTAATCTAATAATGGATTAAATAATACTAGGAAACAGGATCAATAATTTTTCAAATTTAAGTGTTACTGTTTGCGACTCAAATAAAGTCACCTCCACTCGTCTCTGAGCTGGATAGTTACTGCTGTCTTGCCACATGTGGTTTCTCCCTTAACCCTAATTCTCCCCTTCCCCTCTATCCTCCATGACTGTCTCTTACACCTTTTATTTCAATATTGCTCTTTTAAAATAGTTGTTTACAAATGACAGCTTAATTTAGGAAAAGAATTTACAGGCCAGGATAACTGCACTGTAGTAGGTCTCAGATGTTGGAATCTGGGCCTCACCTCCTGTTGGAATACATATTTTTCTTCTTTACTCCTAACTTTTCACTTGGTTTCCATTTCATCACCTCAACTCAGCTATGTCCACATATGGCTGCTGGCCTCTCCGAGTACCCCTCCACTGGCTACCCAGACCCTGATGCCTCTTCCTGGGCCAGGTGCCCTCCTCTGGACTGTCAGTTGTAGCCACAGGAACCAGGAGATTGTGTCTAGAACCATCTGATAGCTTCACATTGCCCTGCCCATCAAGCCTAAGATCCTTCCAATATAAGTACAACTAAACAGTAATTTTATCTAATTAAGTTCATGAGAAGTACTTTGACAAACGTTTCAGATTATAGCCAATGGGAAAATAAGGACCTAGCGTATTGTGAAGACCATTTAATAACGAGAAGAAACAACTGACAAGTATGACAAGAGGCTTAACTATGGGAAATTTGATACAGTTGAGTACCCTCTTCTATGACTATGCCTTGAGTCAAATATAAAGACTGTTCTCTTCATTTTGTCAGAAAATTATCATTAAAATTAAACTTGATTTGTTTCATTTTATTCATTTGATGCTGTCTGCCCAGAATGTGTATGGGTGGGTGGAATCTGTGACTTTGTCTTCATAGGATAGCTACTTACTCATAACTAATCCTTTCTAACAGAATAAACATTCCTCCTTCCAGCTTGTTCCATTGCAGACTCCCAAGAAATTACAGCTGTTGGCGAAACTACCTGTATCTAAGCAATGAAATACGAGGACCTCATTTGGCTGCTCACACTGGAAACTATGACCATATTTCTTTAAGAGGTGGATTTAATACCCTGTCAGGGCACATTCAAGAAGCAACCAATGAATGCATAAATAAGGGGAATAAACTGATGTTTCTAAAACTCACTATTTTAAAAAAGGTGTTCTGTTTTGTATAAAAACTGAAACAGGTCCACAACTCCAGGTGACTGGCCCTTGGCAGCAATTCAGAACTCGGGATAACTTTCCAATAGGGGCAGTATTAGTGCAGTGAAATGGGTGGGAGACACATTGCAATGAGTTGAGGATCAAAGAAACTATGAAACAACACTTTGAAAATGTACTTTTGACTAACCTATTGTTGGCCTGTTATTTAAAGCAGGTGTTAATTTCACCTGCAGGTGAAACTAGTCATTGTAGCTCAGTGAAAGTAAATGAAATAATGCATAAGTTCCTTATAGAATCTGGCACAACAAAGCATTCAAATGACACCATATTTTGCTGTGTATAATGCACCTTTTTGCCCAAATTTGAGGGAAAATAAGGATGAGCATTATACATGGGTAGTACCTAAAATATTTTGCATCTGATTCTCATGTTGTAATTGTTAAATAAAACTTGTACATGTTCAAAAATAAATGCTAAAATTCCTTTATAATACAAAAAACAAGTATCTAAATACAAATAAATGTGTTAAAAAATTAAAATGAAAGATCTCTTCCCAAAAGTTTGGGCCAAAAATGTGGGTGCATATTATACATGGCAAAATATGGTAATTATTATGCTTAGTTTTAGGGTGTAGCCCCCAGTTTCACAAACACCAAGTTTTAAATTTGTGTATTGAGTGGAGAGAGGCTGGGTTTAGCTTTTAAGAATTAACAGTTTTGAGGGGGGAAGTGTGGGTGGAGGAGGGCAAAGGGGTAAAAAAACACTGAGAAGTGTAATAGAATATGCATGATTTTAAAAACTGAAAATTAAAAACAGTAGAGATTACTAGCTTCTGGACAAGATGTTGGCATTGGCAGACACGGCTTGCCTCTTCACACAACCACATCAAAATTACGATTAAAATGTAGAACCACCATCACTCAGGAATGTCAGAAATCCAGTTGAACGAAAGTCTGACAACTACAGAATTAAAGCAGCCACATCCATCGAGACTGGTAGAAGGGGCACAGACACGGAATGGGCTGGTCCCTCACCCATGTGTGGTGCATGAAAAAGAGGGTATCTCGTGAGTGATGAGTCCCCGCTCCATACCAGGCCCCCTTAGCCCAGGGTTCCAGTGCTAGGAAGATAAGTCCCCACAACTTCTGGCTGCAAAAACCAGTGGGGTAGGGGTATTGAGTCAGTGGAGGAGGCTGCTGAAGCCCTAAGCAGTTCCTCTTTGGGAACCCACACAGACTCACCTACTGAGACTCACTCCTCCTGAGTTCCAGCACCAGGGTGGCAGCTTGAAGGGCACCAGTAGTACGCAGGGAGAAACTGAAGTGTCTAGCCCTGGCGTGAGCAGAGGCCATTGTCCCTTTTCTGAGCCCTGCCCCCACAGAGGCACAAAGCTGGCAAGTTGGTGCCATATTAGAAACTCCATCAACCTGGCTAACAATGTTTGACCCACCCTGGAGATGCCCAGAGACTCTGCCCCACCCAACTTCCAGGCCCACCCAAACTGCTTTTCCATATGAATGTTTGGTCTTGACTCATGCTTCACAACTTCCTAAATTCTCTCAAGCAACAGCTGGCCTTAGTGAGCTCCAGGCCCCACACTAGCAGCTGCCAGATTAATTGCAGTTTGGCTTCCCCTGGGAATCTCCAAGCCCAGCACAAGTAGAAGCCTTCTCAGAGTACTTTATAGCTCAGGAACGGTGGCCCCAGAAAAACACAGGTGGGGGCCAGCCTTGGCCAGCACCACCCAGGAAACCCCAAGGCCAGCATACCAAGTGGACAACTACAGACCTCTCTCAAAGCACCACCACCTTGTTCCTGCATAGCTAATCCTCTACAGAGGGCAGAAGTTGGTGGTAATTGGTCACAGCCAATCAATCCTTGCAGCTGACTAGCCTGGGTAACTCCCTCCCATTGATCTGCCAACAGCAACTGAGGCAAATCAACTACAAGAGCGTGTACTCAGCCCACACTAAGGGTGCACCTCAAATACCCAGCTTGGGTGATAGGGAAGACGGTGCCACTGGACCCTACAGGACACCTACTACACTAGGGCACACTATCAAAACATGGGGGCAAAGCAGGTCTACCTACTAATACAAAGAAACTCACAAGGGGAGGCTGCCAAAACGAGGAGACAAAGAAGCATGGCCCAAATGAAGGGAAATAATAAAATTCCAGGAAAAGCTTAACAAAATGGAGATAAGCAATCTATCATATGCAAAGTTCAAAACCCTGGTTATAAGGATGCTCAAGGAACTTAGTGAGGACCTCAGCAGCATACAAAAGATCCAGTCAGAAATGATTCACTAACTGAAATGAAGAACAATATACAGGGAGACAACAGTAGAGTGGGTGAAGCCAAGAATCAAATCAATAATCTGGAACACAGAAGCAAAAAAAACACCAACCAATCAGAAGAAAAAAGAATCCCAAAACATGAGGGCAGTATAAGCAGCCTGTGGGACAACTTTAAGAGGTTCAACATTTGCATCACAGGGTTGCCAGCAGAACAGAAACAGCAAGAAATTGGAAATCTATTTCAAAAATAATGAAAGAAAATGTCCCTAATTTGGTCAAGGAAATAGACATGCAAGTCCAGGAAGCACAGAGTCTCCCAATCAGGCTGGACCCAAAGAGGTCCACAAGACACATCCTAATTAAAATGCCAAAGGTTAAGGATAAGAGAATTTTAAAAGCAGCGACAGAAAAGCAGTTACCTACAAAGGAGCTCTCATAAGATTGTCAGCTGATCTCGCAAAAGAAACCTTGCAGGTTAGAAGGGGCTGGTGAGAAGTATTCAAAGTGATGAAAAGCAAGGACCTACAACCAAGATTACTCTATCCAGTGAAGCTATCATTTAGGAGGGCAGATAAAGTGCTTCCCAGATAAGGTAAAGTTAAAGGAGTTCATTATCACCAAACCATACTTACAGGAAATGTTAAAAGGGACTTATCTAAAAAAAACAAGGTGATCAAAACTCTGAACAGTAAAAACAAACTTACAGCTATCAACAACTGAACCTAA